TCTCACTCCTCACCATTCCTCATAAATCCCTCAGTCCTCACCAGTCCGCATTAATCCCTTAGTCGTCACCAGTCCTAATAAATCCCTTAGTACTCACCAGTCCTCATAAATCCCTCAGTCCTTATAAATCCAGTCCTCATCTCTTAATCTTTCCTAATCCTTGTCAGTCATCAGCACTCAGTCCTTCGTACTCTTCGTGGTCATTGGTCCTCACTCCTCACTCTTCCAAAGTCGTCATCAGTCCCCAGTCATCCTAGTTCTTGGTCTTCCTTAACCCTCAGATCTAAGGCCTCATTGTCCATTCTCTATTAAGCGACATCAGTCCCTAGTCCTCCCAGTATTTAATCCCTTAAGTCTTCAGTTATAAATCCTCACTCCTCGGTCATTAGTCCCCCGGCCTTCAGTCTTCACAGTCTTCTTAGTCCCCAGCCCTAAATCCTCACTAGTCCCCAAGCCTTTAATCCTACTGCTGAGTCTTCACCTTTAAATCACCTTTAGATTAATCCTCAATCCTCCAGATTCCTTCGTCCCAAGCGATAAAACACTCCTCACGCTAGTCTCCAGACCTAAATCCTTACTCCTCACTAGTCTCCAGCCCTGAATCCTTACTCCTGCTAGTCCCCAGTCCTCCTCACTCCTTAAATCCTCAGACCACATTGTTACTCACTCCTCACTTCTTAGCCCTCAGTCCTCTCTCCTCAATAGTCCCCAGTCCTCACTCCTCCTTCCTCCAGAGTCCCCAGTTGTAAACCCTCACTCCTCCGTCCTCAGCCTCCGTTCCTCATTAGTCCCCAGTCCTCATGCCTCACTTACTCCTTACTCCTGAGCCTCCAGCCCCCAAATCTTCACTCCCCATTATCCGTCACTCCTCACTGTTCCTCATTCCTCCTTATCCCTCCTACTCCATAACTGGGCTTAGTTCCCTTGGGCGGATGTGGTGACTAACCTATTAGGCGCACCTCTCTCCCCTTCATTATTGTTGTTGTTGTTGTGTGTGATTTTGTTGGGATTGCTGTCTCTTGTTTTGTTGTGTTTCTTTTGTTGTTAATGTTGTACTTTTTAATGTCGTTGATATTATGAACATCATCGTCGTTATTATTATTGTCATTATTGTTGTCCAACTCACTAACATAAACGTTTGATGTTATTGTCATTTTTATTGTTGTTATTATTGTTATTCAGTTGTCAAAATCAGCATATTGGATAAAGATGTTTTTACTCTACAAATAAGATGTCCATTGATTTCCTTAATTTCGTTTCAGAAATTAATAAAATATATTTTTAAGGAAGAGAGAAATGTGTCAATTTCATTATTCTAGACGAATAAACAGTTATGCCATTATGTTTAGCCTTCATCAAACAATGAAGTGTTTTTACGATGTATTTTGATACGACGCTTCCGTTTTGGTTTTCAGAAAAAAATGTATATACGTTTATGTAGCGCGATAGATTCTTTTTAGCAGATTATTAATCAATAGTAATGATACAAATAGCTTTGATAATGATATTATGATGATTATATAACACTATTATAGATATAGTTATTCTATATATCATATATTGTATACTGTACTATATATCACCATATCAGAATGGGACAAAGCTACAGCAAAAGAAAACTATATATTACCGCATATCATATAATTATTACACATTACTATATTATGTACACTAACATGAATCATGAAGATTAAACTCAGAACTTTAGTACTGGGCATATATGAAATAAATTTAACTTGAACAGTTTCTACTTACATAAAGCATCAGTGATATCAGTAATAAAGACAATTACGCCACAGAGAGAGAGAGAGAATGAAGCATATATACTCATAAATATATAAAAAAAACGAATATTCGCATGCAAAGAACGGCATGTTCTCTATGCAAATGTAGCTAGTTCCTACGAATCACAAAGTAACTATTTATGAACGACTGTACATCTCTTTGTTGAATTACATTTCATTCCCAGAACAACTAAAGAGGTAAAATTCTAAAAAAAAAAAATCGCTCCAGCACAACACGAAAGATAACATTCGCGCAAAAGATCAAAATATCGTTTACAAATTGTAAATCTATTTTCTATTTTATGGACACCTGCTGTATCTCTAGTGGCTTTGATGGATGGTATCTTGATGTGGATAAATATCGGAATTACTTTTCATAATAGTTATGTTGTATCTCTGTGTATCCATGTCCTGCGACAGGGATGCCGAATATAAAGTTCACAAGAATATATCGGATTTGCATTTTAGACACATTCATTACGTAGAATATCCTAACAAACCATAAAAAAAAACATTAGCCACATTAAGACGGATAATGATAAAACGAAAATAAACCGTGACGCGCACAGGTTTAACAAAAAACGGATGTTCCCCTTTGCGCAACCTTCGAGAGGAGGAGGGGCAGGGGCAGGGGGGGAGAGGGAAATCCCCAAAACCCAGGAACAGAAAATAATCCCTTCTTCCTAATACCGAATCCTTAAGTGTATCGCGCCTCGAACCGAACCAGGTGGGCAGGATGACAGGAGGAAAATAAAAATGCCCAAGTCATCCATTCACCCGGATAGGCCTATCGTTCTTACTCTTTATAAATAAAACTAGAAATTGAAGTCTGGACTAAATTGTTTGAGACAAAAGCTAGACACGAGAGACAGAGGTTGGGAAGAAAGTTTAATGCAAAAATTTTAACTGTGTGTGAAGGTACTAGTCTATGCCTAAGTTGCAACATGTGCATAGCCTTATACGGCGTTGCATATAAGACAGAGTCTGCATTGACCCGAGTGCATTGCAACACGAGTATTGGTACTGGCTTCATCACTATTTCCATAAGTGCTAAGATGAAGTCATTAGAAAAATACATAGTTGCTTTTATGTATGTGAAAGAGAGGGAGAGAGAAAAAGAGAAAGGAAGAGAGAGAGGCAGAAAAAGAGAGCGAGACAGAAAGTGAGAGAGAGAGAGAGAGAAATAAACAGTCAATGACAGACAGTTACTTACGCAGCGAAAATCAATGAGACCGTAAGCAAATGCGAACTGTATATAATAATTTATTCAAAATAATTCACACAACCAGCTGACCAGTTTGTAAAAATAAAAAAATCGTAGCATTTTATTCAAAGTTAACCCACTCCCGAGCCAGAGTACACAGACATACGCAGATGCATGTTGCAAGTAACCCCCCTCCCTCCCTCCCTCCCTCCCTCTCCCCTCCTTTACCCGGTTCTCCTCTCTAACCTCAAATGAACAGCTCTCACCTCGACAGTCATTTCTATTAATAGGAATTTTAAGCTAAATTTCCTGATTGATACGTAAATGACAAGTAAAATGGAAAGAAAACGCATGTAACAAATCAGTGAATCGGTCTTTTAAACCTTCAAAAAAAAGAAGACGGATGATTTTGACGTGGTCTCTTCCCTCCCTCCCCCATTCCCATCCCCCTCCTCCTCCTCCCTCCCCCATTCCCATCCCCCCTCCTCCTCCCTCCCCCATTCCCATCCCCCCTCCTCCTCCCTACCCCATTCCCATCCTCCTCCTCCTCCTCCTCCCTCCCCCATTCCCATCCTCCCTCCTCCTCCCTCCCCCATTCCCATGCCCCTCCTCCTCCCTCCCCCCGACAGAAACTCCTTCCCACCAAAAAAGAAAAAAAAGAAACAAAAAATGTCGGGGGAAATCGGGGAATACCCGAGTCGGCGGCAAACCTGTTTATTGTCTGAATACTTTCTTCTCTCGGTCGATTTGCTTTTTTTTTCTCTCTCTCTCTTTCTCATAATAATTTGGGCGATCGCTTGGAATGACATTAGATGTTCGCAAGATAAAAATTTGATTCATTTGATTTGAGGGGTATTTTTTATTTCTATTTTCGTTGGAAAGAGGGAAGGTTACTGCATAGCAACAGCGAGGTGTGAGTGGTAGGCAACGAAGACTTTACACGCGATTGTGACCCTTATGGCTGAAGCGTGAGCGGTCAATTCCTGCTTGACCTATACACATGACCGCACGTACGCACACGCACGCACACACACACACGCACACACACGCATACATACACGCAGACACACACACACACACACACACACACACACACACACACACACACACACACACACACACACACACACACACACACACACACACACACACACACAGAATCACCAATGGCATCTTATATTCCCAACAGGTAGACTCGCTTACTTAAGATCCCACACATAAACGCCAAAGAAATATCTACACAACTGGATTCCAAGAGCAGACGGGTCGATATAAACAACGTTTTTTTCTGCACCGGCCATGCCTTTCGCTTTTTATTTCTTTTTCTTTCTTTTCTTATCGTGATTTCGTTGAACAAACGCTTTTTGCTGAACAGTTTTGATGTTAATTCTGTATTATATAGTTAGACTTAGTTCCATGTCCACACACATACGTTCGGTATATGCAGGATTGTAAGTAGGCCTACACACACACACACACACACACACACACACACACACACACACACACACACACACACACACACACACACACACACACACGCACGCACACACACACACACACACACACACACACACACACACACACACACACACACACACACACACACACACACACACACACACACATACACCACACACACCACACACACACACACCACACACACACACACACACACACACACACACACACACACACACACACACACACACACACACACACACACACACACACACACACACACACACACATATATATATATATATATATATATATATATATATATATATATATATATATATATATGATTGTGAATATGTATATGAGTATATGTATCTGCGCATATGTATTTAATCATACAATGATATGAATGAATCTGACCGCATAACTAAACACTTCATTTCGAACATTTCCCCTTTTTTCGCTCTACCATTACCAAACTCCGTGTCCGAATCCTCGCAATCTGACTTCGTCCTCTCGCCTCTCATTCTTCATCGTCTTTCTCCTTCCAGGGCACGAACACCAACGAAGCCCAAGCCATCAACTTCCTTCGCCAGTACGATGCCGAAGCCTCAGTCATGTGCAACCGCTTCATGGAGGCCAGTTGGGACTTCAACACGAACGTCACTTCGTTCAATCGCCGGAGAATG